AAACAAACAAACAAAGAAATCAAATGCTTCCTTTACTGATATGTTTTATTACACTTATTAGCGACAGTGAGTGTCTCAAAGTTCAGGTTTTAGACAACCACTTAAACTTGCCTGTGGTGACCTTTCCTACATAACCTGCTCTCTCCTACCCACTGCCCAGAAACCCCTGAAGAGGGGACAGAGGTCTGGCCTGGTTATCAAATGGCACTATGTAAATGGTTATCATGAAACTTGTCCTTTATTTCTCCTCTTCATAAATTTACTCCACACAAAAATGTTAGAATATTGAAATGTAGAATTTGAAGGCATTTGAGACTTTGTGAGGATGAGCAGATCAGAACTTGGAGGAGCTTATGAACCACAGACATGCTTTATAAGCAATTTAAGCAGGCTTCGCATAGATTATATTGAGGAAAGCTTGGATCTTGGTAGTTTATTTTATGCAACAGAGGGATCCTGGATGAGGGAGATGGGGTCTGTGTGGGAGGAACTTCTGTAGAATGTCTAGATTTACATCATCCCAGTTTATGACCCCATAGGCAAAGCAAAGCTTCTCTCTCTCACATAGCAGTGTATAAAATCCAAATAAACATCTCTGCATGGTCCAGCTTGGGCTCTGTGTCATGTGCCCTTCCCTGCCCTAGTTGCTTCACCAAGGGGTGAGATATTTTGGTTGCCCATGCTGTGATGGTGCCCACCTGTAGCAAGAGGCCCAGAGTGACAGCCCCACAACAGCTCTGCAGAACAATGGAGAGGAAACTTCTCTAAGAACTATAGAGTACTGTTTTTTTTTTTTTTTTTTTTTTTTTGAGACAGGATCTCACTTCGTCAATCAGGCTTGAGTGCAGTGGCATAAACAGGGTTCACTGCAGCCTCCACCTCCCAGACTCAATGATCCTTCCATCTCAGCCTCCTAGCAGCTGGGATGCACACCAGCACACCCTGCTAATTTTTGTAATTTTTGTAGAGGCAGATTTTCCACATGTTGACCACGCTGGTGTCAAACTCCTGAGCTCAAGCAATCCACCCACCTTGGCTTCCCAAAGTCTTGGGATTACAAGCGTGAACCACCACACCTAGCCACAGGGAACTTTTGCCAGATGAGGGAGAAATTCTGGACAGACAAGAACCACGGATGTTCACTACCAGTGGAATAGAACTGTACTGAGGGTACAGTTTTGGTTTTCGTGAGGATGCTAGCTAGAGTAGAATATATTAGTACTTGTAGTCAGGTGAAAGAAAGCAGCTATCACCTGGATACAATAGAACTTTCATATCCATGCCACTTTTGATCTTCACTATCAGTCTGAGACATGAGTAGAGCATACTCATTTTATAGTATATACTTTTGGGAGTCAAGAGACACAGAGAAGCATAGCAGAAAACACATCGTTTACATGACAGGACCAGGTATAACTCTAGCATGTACATCGCTTTGGGAAGCAGGTGACTTCCAGACACTCTTAGAACCTTAGACAATCCTGGCCGGGTGCAGTGGCTCACGCCGGTAATCCCAGCACTTTGGGAGGTAGGCGGATCACGAGGTCAAGAGATCAAGACCATCCTGGCCAACATGATGAAACCCCATCTCTACTAAAAAATGCAAAAATTAGCTGGGCGTGGTGGTGCGTGCCTGTAATCCCAGCTACTCAGGAGGCTGAGGCAAGAGAATCACTTGAACCCGGAAGGTGGAGGTTGCAGTGAGCCGAGATCTCACCACCATATACCAGCCTGGCGACAGAGTGAGACTGTCTCAAAAAAAAAAAAAGATAACCTTAGACAATACTGAAAACATCTAACGTGTAAGAATCCAGAAATTCCCATCGGCCAGGCACATAGGGCCAAAGTGACAGCAACTTTCAGAGAACTCTAGCATGTGTGTATATCTTTTCCTAGAGTTCTCGATCACACTAACCTTTGCAGTAGCTGTTCTTCCATACACTCCAGGCAAACAGCTTTCATTCACTCACTTTTCTTGATATCTCCCACACCTAACCCAATTTCTGACACATAGCAGCAAATGTTTGCAGTATTACTGAACTGATAGCAAACATTTGTTGAATGTCATTATATACATTATGCTAAGTTTGTGGACATAAATATAAATAAGACAAACATTCATATGCTTGTGGAGATCATAGCCTGGTGGGAAAGGCTAACGAACAGTTCTGTGTGAGAACTATTTGGTTGCAAACAACAGAGAACCAGACCCAATATAGCTTAAGAAACACGGGAATGAGGGGCCGGGCGCGGTGGCTCACGCCTGTAATCCCAGCACTTTGGGAGGCCAGGGTGGGTGGATCACGAGGTCAAGAGATCGAGACCATCCTGGTCAACATGGTGAAACCCCGTCTCTACTAAAAATACAAAAAATGAGCTGGGCATGGTGGCGCGTGCCTGTAATCCCAGCTACACAGGAGGCTGAGGCAGGAGAATTGCCTGAACCCAGGAGGCGGAGGTTACGGTGAGCCGAGATCGGGCCATTGCACTCCAGCCTGGGTAACAAGAGCGAAACTCCGTCTCAAAAAAAAAAAAAAAGAAACATGGGAATGTTTTGGTACACACATGCTGAAAAGTCCAGGATTAGGATTGACTTCAGACAGTTACTTCCAGAGCTTCAGTGATCTGGTTTTATCTCGAGAATGTGTTTTCCACCGAATTGCCTTTGTTCTGGGGCTTGAAAGCAAAAGGCAACAGCAATTTCAGTCCTTATATTCTCTTAAGGTAATAGAATGTAGTAGCTCTGAGAATTACTTAAACCTGGGAGGCGGAGGTTGCAATGAGCTGAGATCACGACATTTCACTCCAGCCTGGGTGACAGAGTGAGACTCCATCTTAAAACAAAAACAAAAACAAGAATTATAGTGGCTCAGGGTAAAAGCTGAATTTGACAACTGGCTTTACTACAAACTGGCTATAAGAACTTTGACAACTTGCCAGGGATGGTGGCTCATGTCTGTAATCCCAGCACTTTGGGAGGCTGAGGTGGGCGGATCATTTAAGGTAGGGAGTTCGAGACCAACCTGACCAACATGGAGAAACCTCATCTCTACCAAAAATGCAAAAAATTAGCCAGGTGTGGTGGTGCATCCCTGTAATCCCAGCTACTGGGGAGGCTGAGGCAGGAGAATTGCTTGAACCCAGGAGGCAGAGGTTGTGTGGTAAGCCAAGATCATGCCATTGCACTCCAGCCTGGGCAACAAGAGCAAAACTCCATCTCAAAAAAAAGAACTTTGACAAGTTAATCAAAATTCTCTGTGCCTCAGCTCAGTTCTACTATTTCTTTCTTTTTTTCCTTTTTTTTTTTTTTTGAGACAGAGTCTCACTCTGTTGCCCAGGCTGGAGTGCAATGGTGCGATCTTGGCTCACAGCAACCTCCGCCTCCCGAGTTCAAGCGATTCTCCTGCCTCAGCTTCCCGAGTAGCTGGGATTACAGGCATGTACCATCACACCCGGCTAATTTTTTTTGTATTTTTAGTAGAGATGGGGTTTCACCATGTTGGTTGGGCTGGTCTCGAACTCCTGACCTCGTGATGGGCCACCTTGGCCTCCCAAAGTGCTGGGATTAAAGACGTGAGCCACTATGCCCGGCCAGAACCACGATTTTTTTTATGACCGCACTTTGGCTACACTTTTAGGTTCGTGAATAAGTACTGAAGGGATGTTTCCTAAAAAAAAAAAAGAAAAATTTTTGAGATGAAAGAATATAAACTCTACTTCTTCTCTGCATAGAACTCTTCCGTTTGTTTGCTGCTCTTGTTCCAAAACTTCCCATTATTTAACCTGCTAAACCCACAGTCACTTTTCAAGAAGTTTTATCTCTTTTCTACCATCACCAATGTACAGAGTGGCTTAGATCTGTATTTCCAAGTCTTACTGTCATTCCAAAAATTACTATAAATTATTAGAATCTCAAAAACTCAACTACATATTGATTACGCTGCCCAGTGTACCTCTGAATTCCACGCGGGAGGGCGTGGCGAACCAAGTTGTGTAGGAATGGGATATTCCACACTACGGGGCAAACTTATCAGTAGCGGGCGGATGCTTTGGGGGTGGGAAGAGTGAAGGAAAAGGAGTGCAGATAAGCTTTTCTTCAGATCTCCGGGGTGAAACGAATGCACCTGACGCCCGCGTGGCAATTAGAAGCTCCGCGAACTCAGCGAGGCCCTGCTGGACAGAGGCTGGGACTCCCGGCCACCCAGGCGACTCGGCCCGTAGCAAGCGTTGCGCGCTCCTGTGAGGGCGCGCGCGCATGTAGTCGTGTCTCGCGCAGGGTCGGGCCTGTCAGGCAGGAAATCTCGCGAGATCGGAGACGAGTGATGACGGTCGGGAGGAGGGGAGTGGTGTCGGGGAAGGGGGGGGAAACCTGGGCAGCGGCCGGGCTCTGTGGCTTCAGGGCTCGGGCAGAGAGAGGGAGGGTGGCAAAGAGAGTGAGTCGGTGCCGCCGCCTGCCTGAGGAGAGAGGAGGGGTCCCGCTCGCCCTGCGCCCTTCGCGGGCCGAGAGCACTAGGCACTCGCGAACATCTGAGGCCTCCCGGCCCCGGGGGACCCCGCCCCGCCGTCCGCCGGCCGGCCCGCGGCCTCTCTTCCCTTTGTGAGCGCCCCCTTCCCAGGGGTGGTGGTGGTGGCGGAGGACTGCGCGTGGGCCCGCCCGCCGAGGGGCCGCGGCGGGGGACCGAGAGGGCCTCGGCTGTGTGAGGACAAGAGGCGGCCGAGGCCCGGGCCGGTTCCCCCGAGGCGGCGGCGGCGGCGACGGCTCCCGGCACTTCCCCGCGCCATCTTAACTGAGCCCAAGAGCTGAGGGCGCTTCCTCGACCCCGGTCGTTCCCTCGCCCCCCCCCCCCGCCCCTTGTTGCAGAGCTTGGGCTTGGCGGCTCGTTGGGGCTCCGGGGGGGGGGGGCGGCGGTCTGTCGCCGGGCCCCCTCCTCCTCCTCACTCCTCGCCCTCCAGGGTAGCAGCTACCGGAGCGCTGCAGGGGGCTGCGCCTGCCTGCTCCGCCCGGGACCTGTCGGCGAAAGGGTAAGGGCACCTCTGCTTTGGGAAAGGGAGATATGGAGGGGGGCGGGGAAATTCGGCCCACTGGGGCCTGTGTGTGGAAGAAGGGATGTGGGGGTGGGGTGGGGGAGGGAGACAAGGAGGGTCTGTGATTCTGTGGGTGGGGTGAAGAGGCTGGTTAGCTGGGCGCCCTCCCGTTTTAAGGGGCGAGAGCAATTTCATTCCTTTTTCCTGAGGGTCACCGGAAGAGGTGGTGGAAGGGGATGTTTCGAGGAAGGTGTGGCCCTCACTGGGAGACTGGGTTGATGTGCACCCCGGTTTAAAGGCACGAGGTCCCTTTCCCTTCTGGTCCTTCTGCTCCTCCTGCTCCTTCTCCTCCTTCTCCTTTGTAGTGTGTATGGATTCTTGGGAAGGGAGACTGCTCTGGGTGGCTTGCTGGGTGGATTCCTCCCCCCAGCACAGGAAATCTATACCCCTCTTCTGTAGGGGTGATGGAAGCGTTTCTCTCCCCCCACCCTTCCCCCTTCCTCATCCTCTAGTCTACTGCAATGCTGCAGAAGTCCAAGGCAGTTTCTTCATACACAGACCCATGTATACACAGAAGGGAGGGGGAGCAGGAGAGGGAAGTAATGGCGCTTCCCTTGAAAAGGTTACTCTTTTTCCTTTGGTTTTAAATTCATGACAGTACCATTTTAATACTCTTTCCCTGAGATCTGTCCATGGGAAGTGTATCTGTATCTATTCCTGGTGTTATTGTTGGGGGACATGGCCTTTCGAGAGGGACCCCGCTCATGTTAGAACAGTTTTGATGTCTTTTTGAGAGATATCTGGATTGACATTTTTTTGTGAGCAGGTTGGATTTTCGTTAGAATTCAAATAAAATAATTTTGTACCTCCTTATCCTCATTTCCCTTCTTTTTGTCTATGACTTTTATAGTTCATCAAGAATTACTGGCCGGGCACAGTGGCTCACGCCTGTAATCCCAGCACTTTGGGAGGCTGAGGTGGGTGGATCACGAGGTCAGGAGATCGAGACCGTCCTGGCTAACTCGGTGAAACCCCGTCTCTACTAAAAATACAAAAAATTAACCGGGCGTGGTGGCACTCGCCTGTAGTCCCAGCTACTCGGGAGGCTGAGGCAGGAGAATTGCTTGAATCTGGGAGTTGGAGGTTGCAGTGAGCCAAGATCGTGCCATTGCACTCCAGCCTGGGCGACAGAGTGAGACTCCGTCTCAAAAAAAAAATTATTAACGATTGTTACATACAGACAGGCTGTCTGATGAACATTTCTCCCTAAGCTGTGAATTTTTAAGGTTAATACTATTTTGTATAATATTGAAATTGGAATTTTCTGAAAATGGTTAGGTTACAAACCTTTCGGTAGCTGATGCTTTGTTTTTATTAATCTGCCTAATTATTCTGTAATCTATTTTCTGTAGTCAGTCATTTTTTTTTTCAGTGCTTTTGCTTGCTATCGTATTTGTCTGAAAACAATCTTATTTGGTTTACAGTACTACTTGTTGGTTTTGTCCTTAGTTGACTAGAAATAAATAAAAATTTAAACATTCTGGAAATGTGCTGCCAAGTGCTTTTTGTGACCAAAGAGTAGTTTTCAAATCTCCATGTACTGATGATACATTTTTTTTTTCTTTTTAAGTGTTTAGTGAATACTGGTGACGTGATTTCAAAATGTTCCACATATGACTATTAATAGAATTAAATAATTTTTTTTCACAAAGTGAGGAAGAAGATTAAAATATGTACAGATAATGAGTTGTCTTTTGTGTATTTAGTGTTTTAAGCTCTACTTAGTTACTTATTTTTAAATACCTCCAAATGCCATGTACATTTTATGTTGTCATTAAGTGTTGTCCAGTAGGGCTTTCTTGATGTGTTTGTTGCATTCTGAAACCTGTTTTAAGGTAGGGATATAAAGATGTTAGTAGCAGCGCTAGGTACTTACTTAGTTTCTGTCATTTTATATCATGATTTTGATGTAGGAGACATGGTACATTAAATACATTTTACTACGTTTTTTTCTCAGTAGATGGAATTCTCTTTGCTTTATTCCCTTTTAATGGTCATGTCAATTCATTGAACTGAAATAACTATTCATTTGAGTATTTATTTCATGGGACAAAGCTGCATGTTGTTGATATGTAGAGTTTTCTCCTTTATGGCAAATTAAGCCAGGAAATCTAATTCTCCATCATTATGGCTTGTTGATAATTGATTAATATATACCAGCATGTGTTGATCCAAGTGTACTGCTCAGTAGAGTGACTGCTTTTACCTTGGTAAGTTGTAGGCAGAGCAGATTTATCAGTAAAGGCTACAAAACTTAAAGGATTTACATAGGGTGTAGGTTAACTATTTACTTGCTTTGTTTCATCATGCACTAAGGAGTACTCTTTAAGACAATTGAAAAAAAAAAAACAAAAAACCTCTTTCATAGCTGGTAGAAATGTTGCCTGAAAGTGGAAAAGTATGTTCATGTTCAATTAGATAAATACATTATTAAGGAAAAATTGCCTGAGGGTTATTTCAGATGACCTCTGATGCTGCAGAAAGAAAATGCTGAGAGCTAATAGTCTGAGTTGATTCCAGATTAGTATGGCACTTCTTATGTTTCTAAATAGTTCATCTACAAAATGGCAGTGTACATCACTTCCTGTTCTTTCACAACTGGCTCTTTCACTGGATTCTCTTTTAGTGACTTAATTTTTGGCATTCTGATATCTGATTTGTTAATTTGGTTATAATTCTCATGTTTTAAAGGTGGAAGAATTTCTGAGAATCAGCTGGATTTAAAGGCTTTTAAGATTATTTTGATGGTAACAAAACATTGCTTCCAAACTAAAGGATAGTATTGCAAACGAATTTAAACTCTGAGAGGTTTTAAAGAAATACAGCAGTGTACATGATCAAAAATATGAGTGCACTGAATAGAAAGAATTACTGTATTTTTTATAATGTTGATTTTGGGGAAAGTGTGGATATGGCACATTATTGAATGGATGTTGATATAAAATAAGCTTTCTGTGTAACAAGGTATATACATGACATTTGGTCCCATGTTATGATGCCATTTTAACAATAAGAAAGCAGATCATTAGTTACAGGATACTAGAAAGACTGGATGCTCATAGCTAATCATAAGAGTATGGTTTATATTAAGAATTTGCCGGTTCTTAGTAGACATGAATATGTAGTAAATCCGGAAGCTATCCAGGGGTCAGCTGTTGGCATTGAAATTAGAGTTGAGATTAATCTGTCTTTCGTGTCTTTCACCTGGAAATCTGTGTTTTGCATTTGGCTTATTTGTAT